TATTGTATTTAGACTAATCCACTTCAGTAAGCGAAACTATAAAAAACTTGCGCGCTAAAATTGGTCACAAAAACAGACAGTTTTTTTTATCAATGGACCCAATATGGAGTCGAATTCATTTTGGGGAGCGTTGGTGCGGAGTGGTTACTTACCCGCCTCTTAATCGAAAGGTCGGATTTTCGAGTCCCTCTATGATCCGTGCTCGTTTCTTGGTGGTGAGAATATTTATTCAGCCCAGAATAATACTCAAAATAGTTGCATGTAGTTCATAACCAGGGGCGCAACGACGTGAAGAACTGAACCCCTCACTGGAGTTTTATCGATCATAATGGATTTTTGGAGCCAAAAATATTGTACAAAATAATCAATTATAAATGCCAGTTTTAAAATTGAATAAAAAAATGGATCGTAATCAATTTTCTCATAATAAATAATCCATTATAATCAATTTTGCTTCCATTATAATTGATTTTTTCTCAACATAAACCCACGAAAGTTGATTTTTTTCTCCTCAAAAGTCGATTGTTTTGCGGAAAAAAAGTGTTTACTCAGCTTGTTGCACTTTCGCTGTAAAACTATGACGCCTTGCTGTTTTTGTTTCAAATAACTATCTACGACACAGTGCTGCAGATAACGCTTCCAGTGAATACCGCTGAAACAGGTATGGCTTCAGCTGAGATATCAATGTGGAAAAACACGAGCACTGGAGTTTCATCGATAATAATCGTTTATAATGGATTTTCAGTGACAAAAAAATGGACTTTATTATCGATTGCAGATACCAGTTGTAAAAATTAAATCTATTTTTAATGGATTATGGTCGAACTTTTTACTTATAAAATAATTCATTTCTATCAATTTTTTTTCAAAATTAATCGATGATTTTTTAAAATACAAATCCAGGCAAATCCATGCAAGGATAAATTTTGAACTAAACATTGAACAACATAAAACAAAAAAAGGAAATCAATTCACAAAGTCAAGTTTTTTTCTGGTTGTTTTTTGTTGCACTTCGATATAGCTCCCTCCCCAGTTTAGAGTTTACTCCCCCCACCCATCCCCCAAATTTTTTCTACAATTTAACGGGTAGAGAGAACTCAAAATAAACTCCACCACTTTAACCCACCCATGCCTCATTTAATCCCCCCAAGTTTTGTAATCCACAACAACGCTAAACTGGACAGGGGAGACTGGGTGGTCTAGAAGAAGTGGCGGAGCTTACATTGAGTCACACTCAGCCACCCCCCCCTCCTCCCCCCCCCCCTCCCACACACACACACGTCCCCTTCGACCATACCATTTCAACCATTGAATACCCCCATTCAATTATTTTATGAACTTCAGGGGGAGGGGGATGATAATAACTACGCGAATGACGATAGTGAAAGTGGGCGTATTTTTTTTACTATGGAGATGATGAAAAAATAATTAAGTAATATGTTAGATATAGATAAAATCTAAAAATATAAAAAAAATAGATAAAATCTAAAAATATAAAAAAAATTATGTGAAAAAAAATTATTGAAGCCTAAGACGTAGTAACTGTACTTAAGAGGAAATGAGATAATTTTTTTTAAAAAATACAGATTTCATCAATAACCTCTGAACAAAATTCATAACAATTGATTATAATCGAACATTATGGATAATTTTGATATCAAAAATATTGGGATCAGAATCCATTTTAATCGTTTATGATCGATAAAATCCAATATAATCGATTGTATCAATTAAACTAATGGGCGAACAATTCGTACTTTGATCATCTTTTCCCTTGTGGATAAATCAATCGTCTTGAATTTTTTCCGAGAAAGCATTTTTTGAAGAAAAAAAAACGTTTTTAGCCACGTGTTTTCAATCTTGAATTAGTGAAAAAACAGTCCAAAGTCAGTTATCAAAATTATTGAAATGAATCAATTGCCTTGCATAACTTGTTCAAATAATATAATATAAAAATTATTCCAACTCGCCGGCGATCCGTGGCAGTTTGAAAACGTTGCTTTTTTCTTCCATTTTTATAATCGGTTAATATTTATTAAGTTTCTAGAAATGATTACTTTCTTTGAAAGTTTTACGCTTTCTTTCCAACTTTTCGAATACTGAAATCTGATTGGCTGATTTTTTCTTTTGCCCATTCAGTCCTTACCCTATGAGGGATTCCGTCCACTTATTTCTTAACTTGGTTGAATTCATATACCAATTTTTTTTATCTCCCTATAAAGATAAAAAATATCTCCCTATAGTTATAACAAGCAAGTGAATATATCTAGACTGTCTTATGAGTATCAAAAAAATCTGGAAAAAAAATAAAATTTGCAAGATATGTCTTGTCAGTGAAGAATATGTAAGCTAGAAAGGGATTTTTTAAAATGAAGCATTAAGCCAAATCATGACTTCTATAAAAGAATCTAGCAAAAAACATGAACACAAGTATAGCCGAATGATACAAAGTCACCATATGAAATAAAACGTTTGAAAAATTGTGGGAAAAATTATCACTTCCAAACTGTTAGGCTTGACACGAGTTCATTGGAGCATAAAAGCGTGGCTCGTTTTCCTTTTCCTCCACCTGCAATATTTTACTAGTGAAATTTTGTTCTCGTCATTCGAATGTTACGAAAAATGGCATGCGAACTACTTGAGCCATGACAAACATAGTTGGTCTTCATTATTAACCTTGTAAAACCCTTCATTACACCATCAAATGTATGCTTATGCAAGGTGGGGGGGGGGCTCAAGTTGTCATGGCTCAAGTAGTTCGCATGACATTTTTCGTAACATTCGAATGAAAAAAGAGCCAAAAACGTTTTATAAAAAAGATTTTACAGTAGTCATAGCATTATGTAACTGATAAACAGATGAGCTTTTAGTTTAAAAAAGTTCAACCGAAAGATATCAGCAAAAATTGAAAAGAGCAGCGTAGCAACAAATTGACAGAGAGTGCAAAAAATCACTCGCCATTAATAGTAAAATCGAAATGGACAATTTCTAGAACGGTACAACTTTGAAGTTTCTATTGAAGCTCTGAAATTTTCCTTCAACGGAGAGTTATTTTTTTTGTAAAGATTTGAAAATTTAAAATGTCTAATTTGGTCCCCAAAAAAAACATTTTAACAAACAATTTTTACAGAAAGTATAATTATAAGTTTGCTGTCTATAATTTAGACCAGTTGCCATTTTTTTCTTTTTGAGTCTGATTTCTTGATTTCATCGAATGAAACCAAAAACTTAGATTTTTCAAAAATCAGGAAAAATTCAAAATTGGTATAAAAATCGACAGGTTTTCCAAAAACAATTGTAAAAATTTGATTGGTTTAATCAGAAATTACTGCTTCCGAGCTAATTTTATTTTCTTGGCCTAGAGTCAAATAAGTTTTTCTATGAGTTTCAAGCGTCGTTCTAACCAAAGGCCATTTACTATCCACTGTTACTATATTTCAAAACCAACTCGAAAAATAATGATATAAGAAGAAAGAAAATGCGACTATTTTACTAAATTACGCAAAAAAAAAAACAGTCATGCAATTCTATACATTGAAAAAATGCTTGTAAAACACTTTTCTAATTTCTAGCAATGTTCTTTATGTATGGGCTATACGGTAATTTCCCTAAAAGCGCTAGATAGGCGTTGCTTCTTTGTAAGAACAAGGTGAATACGCGCATCATTTCTTTAGCATACTTTTTCTTTAAAATTTTTTGTCAAATTACGCAAAAACATTTCAGATCAATTTTTTTTCGGAAAAGAAATTAAGTAATGTTTACAAAAAAATGAGCTTAACGACGTCACTTTCAGTCGGTTAAAAATGATTTTACTCTAAGTTTTTTTGTGTGTTTTGAGTTCAAAGAAAACAATTTCGCAACTCTTTTTCTTCAAAATAACATTAAGAAAGCACCAAAAGTTTCAATAACAAAGATTTACATAGACTTCAAGTCTACAAAATTTTAAGGTTCCTTGATTTATATTCTTTTGTTAAAATAAACTTTGAGATAGAACATTTAGCACATAGTCAGCTACAGCACATTATGTCGTAACCTGGTGATACAAATTCGAGGCTTCAAATGTGGTTTCGTTAGTACGTCATTTTTGGTTCCCACATTCAAAGAAAGAGAGGGATATATAAGCTGTGTGTTTTTTATCCAGACCTTTTTTACAGCGTATAGGAAAATTGGCAGCGAATGAGAATCGATCTGGAAAATTTTGGATTGCCAAGCCAGTATGCTTTCACCAGACTAAAATGCGGATGGCGTTGCTGCTCGAATAATACTTTGATAGCTTCAATGCGCTAATTTTTTATGCAAACCGTTAGCCCGGGGAACGGGGATGGGTGTCCTTTGATAATGTCTTTGTGGTTGGGCTCAGGCAAAATTTTGTCGAAATTGGATAAAGAGGTTTTCTTCGAGCTAACATTTTTCTTCTATTAGGCAAAACTTTTTCCTTTTCTAGACAATCAGAGTGATTTTGATGCATTTTAAAAGTTAATTGACAATTTAACGAGGATTACAAATCAACACATCGATTGGGAGCAAAAAAATTGCAAAATAATTAAATAAAAATGACAAGAAGCCAAAGCTGCAATTATTGTACCATTGGAAAAATAATAATACAGGGAAAAACAACAAACGAATCTCAGTTTTTTATTTTGATGGGATTTAAAAGATAAAAGGAAGTAGTTTCTTGAAAAATATAATTTCCTTTCAGGTGTTAGTATTTTAGTTTTTTGGCTAAATTTTAAATAACAGTTCCTTTGATAATGTTTTGAATTTTTTTTATGATTTAGAAACTAGTTTCTGCAAAATTCTTCAAAATCTTTGCATTTTTTAAATAAAATTTTAAATAACGGTTCCTTCGATAAGGTTTTGAATTTTTTCTATGATTTAGAAACTAGTTTTTGCAAAATTTTTGAAAATCTTTGCATTTTTTTCTGATATCATAAAATATATCCTATTTTGCTAAAAATTGTATTTTTTTTTATTTCTGTTAACAGGCAAAAATTCTCCTAAATCCCGGTTTTTTAATAATTAGAAAAGTTTTGTGAATGGTGGGAACATTTAATGATTTGAATAAAACAACTCAATTTACAGTTTCAATAAATCGACCTCTATTTTCATTTGAGTTCGGCTGTGAACAAGTTACGAACGTTTTCAGTCGTTTTCTAAATGCTGAATTTACCAAAAAGTAAACAAAAAAGTTTGTCAAAAAGTGGAGGTTGAATAGAAAAACCGAAATGTGCTCGGCCCATGCAAAGCAGTTTCCTTTCCAGTTTTCGTGCCAAATAATTTCCATTGCGCTTTTGATACATTGGGGTAAAACTAGAACTGTGAAACAAGCTGTTGCCGTGAACATGATTTTCGTCATTCGTTTTTCTCTCTTTCGCCGAGTACAGGCAACTATGTAACTGGGAAGAGTTTTTGTCAGGTTGTTCACGTGGGTTTTGCGCAGTTTTCCCTTTGCAATTTCCCTTCTGGGTATCAAACTGACCTTGATTCCTGTTTTCGAATCAATTTCGGTTCTAGAAGATCTGATTGAAGGGTTGATGCTATTTGGGACCAAGTTATCATCGTCAATAACTTTCAGATCATCTGCAATAATTTTTTCTTCGCTCCCAGAATGGCTTTCGTACAAAGCAACCTGCTTCAAACTTCTTGAATTGGCCGACCCAGTCGTGTCTCGACAGGAAAAGTGCTGGCCGGAAAACTCAACGGTGTCATCACGCATTTTGGCTGACACTGCGGCATTCAAAGACTGCACGCGACGCATGTAAAGGGTTCGTAGCCTTCTTGATATTTTGTGATATGTGAGGACCATCGCAAAAATATTGAGCAGCGCGAGAGAGTTTCGAACGATGACGTAATAGGCGAACATAGGGTCTCGGGCTTCGCTGCAGTTGGCGGCAATGGCCGGAGCTGCTAGAAGACACGTGAACAGAGCTGTTCCGCTTATGATCTTGCGAACTTTGTCCTTGTTGTAGATATATTCATGAACCACAGGCTGAAGCAAAAAAAGTTCGCTATATTTGTTAATCAAAAAACAGACCATTGGACTTTTGAGGTCTCCCATAACCATAAAAGGATTATAATTTGGAAGAAAAAATCTTGATTCTAAATTTTTCGAAAAAAAAGCCTATTCCTGAATTTTTTGAAAGATTTATTTGATTAAATGAAGTTTCCGTTCTCTTTTAAACAATTACTTTAATAGTTCACTTTCCAAAAAATGGAAAAGTTCGAAAATATTTGTTTTCCCTTCACCAATTTAAAAAGAAGGATTTCTTCCCAGTTGTTCCTTATCTTTAAAAAAGTAGAAACAATGCTCATGTGATTGGTTTTATCTGTTTCTCAGTTTGTTGGCTCAATTTTTGGATGAAGTCTGTTTTTATGCGCAAAATTAGGTAGGAAAATGAACGAAAATTAGGTAAAAAAATGAGCTTAGTATTTGTAAGAACAACTTGTTCATTTAACTTGAAACTAGGAAAATTATTTGGAATGTTTCTATTGCAGCCCGACTCAAAGAAGAATATTTGTTATGCAAATTTGCTGGAAACCATTTGACGTTCCCTTTTTACCTGATTTTTGATTAAGAAAATGTGAACCAAAACTTTCTACCCTTCTTTCGGTGGTCGAAACAAAAACGAAGAACAATTGAATGCAGGTCTCTAATGCAGATCTCTAATCTGTGTTTCTAAAGCGTTTGGTTGTTGGAAAGTATTTGTTGATAACTACTCAGATATCGGGCATAGATATATATTTTTATACTCGAAATTTCAAGAAAAACTTAAAAACACAAAGTTAAAGAAAAATAGACACACCATTCAGCACTAAAATTTTCAAACCAATCTATCAGAAGACTTTTCCGTTTTTTAAGCAATTAACATTGGTAAGTTCAGGTTGATTAAAAATGTTTTACCATTGAAAACAATCATTCAGCGGTTTTTTGTAGTAACTACTTTGATCAATTTTATCGAAGATGAGTGCTTCAAAGAGCATTCAAATTGCAAATTAAAACTTGAAACCGCTAACAAATCAATGAAATTTCGAGTTTCGGAAACAATTTTTATTCCAAATTTTTATCTTAAAAAACCTTTTGCTTTCTTTTTCTTTCTTTATCTGCAATATTTATATTCAGCTTTAGGTAAAATACTACATAAATCTTAAATTAGAATTGATTAATTTAGCGCGCAATATTAAGCCGCAAACAATTTTTTTTTCTGTTATCAGTTAAAACCTGGGGGAATTCCCAATGACAGGAAAACAAAATGCCAAAAAAAACTAACAGTCAATCAGAATTGAGCTTTCAAAAATTTGCAAGGAACAAGCAAGAAATTCAGTCAATTTGAGAAAACAAAGTCTATTTTGATTGTTTAATAAGCTGGAAAACTGAAAGCAAATAATTATTCCTTGCAGGTAGACATTTATAAATTGAGAAAATGTGCAAAATTGTTAAATTGGGTAACAATTATAGCTTTTGATGTATCATTTTGATTTTTACAGTTTGTAAAAAGGTGACTTTTTCAAATTAAGTTTGAAGAAAAATTATCAATTTAAACAAATTTAAAATAAATGTATAAGAGGTTGTATTTAATTTCAAAAAAATATTGAGTTTAGCAGTAGACTTAAGAAATTGCTTAGAATTTTTTTAGCAGGACAACGTTGCAATACGTTGCAATAGTGAAAAAACGTTGCAATTGTTAATTTATGGCGTACGGCACACAGAATACACTTCTTACATTTTTCAATGAACAGCAGGCAGAAACTTATACTTCCAAAATGATTTTCCGAGGGATTGTCAGGATGAAATATGACGAATTCCAAGAAACAACCAAGAGACCATTTTTGTTTGGGCCTTTTTGTAGTAAACAGCCTAAGACAAAGCTGAACATCTTAATAGATAGTAGTAAAATTTAATGGCTAAAAGTTGTTAAGAATATAAAAAACAAGTTCAGGCATTTCAGTTATTTTTAACGTTTCAGTTTGATAAAAATGTTGGCGATAAAATGTTGCTGAAACTTTTTCGAAACTGTCTGCAAGTAATTTGGTTTACATTTCTGCTGGATGTTTGAGTTTTATAAGCTTCTAGTTGTTTTTCTAGCTTCAAATTTCATTTCAAATTGTTCTTTGATTATGATTTGAGTTTTGAAAAGATGGTAATCAAATCAAAACATTCGGTTGTTTTTTGGGTCGTTTAGTTCATAAGACCCATGTGTTTGTATGAAATCGGAGTATTATTTTTTGAGACAAACATTTCATTTCATTTAGAAAGATTTCTAGTTAAAACAAACTACAGAGTTTCTTCAAAATATAAAAATTGTTTCTGAAACTCGAACATTTTTTCTAACGCAAGTAGCGTTAGTACTTTTACATTCTAATTATAATTTTTTCAAGACTGCTCGTATCAAGGCAAAAATTTTGACTGTTCTTCATTTCTATCAAGCACTATTGATTTTCTTTTAAAAAAATTTATAATAGTTCATGAGAACCCGGATTGATCTGCCAGTAAAAATCAGTACTGTTCCAGTAAGACAACAATATAAAAACAATACTGTGAACGTACTGGGCAAGAGCCACGAAAGCACTGATCAGCGGTGAAATCAAGACAAAAATTGCAATATTGTTCCAGTACTGATTCACTACTGAATCAATACTGTTTTTTAGATTATTACTTCTTATTATCAACCTGCAACCAATCCATTCCAGGATAACAAAGCAACATAAGAAAATTCAATCAATTGAACCTTTTTTGCTAGAGGAAGGTTTCTCGAGCTAAATATTTGATAAATTTTGTGCAAAATTCTAGCTGTGAAGGGGGAGGTGCAGCGCCATTATCTAAAAAAGTGATATTGTATTAAATCATTTTTTAATGCAAAATTACCTGTTGCTAGGGAATTTAGTTGCTCAAGCCATTTAACAACCATCGCTAACCTATTTTTAATTTTTTGCGGACAAAAACTGCTGCCTCGTTAATAATTTTTCTGTTTTTTTTCGAAGCGTAAACCATTTTCATGTTTTTTTAAGTTCATTAAGAAATTTAAAAAATATATATTAAAAAAAAAATGCGGTAAGTTTTTTGAAATTTATAAAAAAAACGCTTTTAAGCTGATTACTTCACACTGAAAAAACTTGTCGGTAGAAGCTTGTCAGTAATGAAGTTTTTTTTTAGGAAAACTTTTCAAATTTTTCGCTATTGAAGATTAAGATGATATACCAAACACAAAGAACGTACTGATAAAACCTAAATGTTTGCTTAAACTGACTTTGGAAAATTTTTTGTAGATGAAAAACTTCGTTCGTTTCCCTGCTTAATTTTCTGCACACTATAGAGCAAAAAATTTGGCGCGTTAACTATCTGAGTTTGATCCCAATTTCTATAGAAAAAAATATATTGCGCCTTAATTATCGCAACTTGGCCCAATTTCAATAGAAAAAAATATTATTCTCCGCGTCAATTATCCCAAATTGACCAAAGTGCAACAAAAGTTGATAGAAGTTGCTTTTTAAAAATTAAAAATGGTCTGGTCTGGAGCACATGTATTTTGTCAGTTTCCGAGAAATTTAGAACAAAGAGTTAGCTCAAAAGTGCTTACAGCTAAGCCAATAAATTTGTACAGAGGTGAATTGGACGTCAGAATCATTTGTTCTGCTTGCTGTTTAGCTAATTTGGGAAAAATACAAAGGCCTTTATATGATGCACAAATAGTGAACATCTTTAAAATTACTGAAATCATTTAGTTGCTCAAGCCATTTAACAACCATCGCTAACCCATTTTTAATTTTTTGCGGAGAAAAACTGCTGCCTCGTTAAAAAAATTTTCCGTTTTTTTTTCGAAGCGTAAACCATTTTCATGTTCTTTAAAAGTTCAATAAGAATTTTTAAGAAAATTAAAAAAAAACAAAATTGCGGTAAGTTTTTTTGAAAATTATAAATAAACGCTGTTAAGCTGATTACTTCACACCGAAAAAGCTTGTCGGTAAGAGCTTGTCAGTAATGAAGTTTTTTTTAGGAAAATTCTTCAAATTTTTTGCTATTAAAGATTAAGATGATATACCAAACACAAAGAACGTACTGATAAATCCTAAATGTTTGCTTAAACTGACGTTGGAAAAATTTTTGTTGATGAAAAACTTCGTTCGTTTCCTAGCTTAATTTTTTGCACACTATAGCGCAAAAAGATTATTTTATAGTTTTAGATTTCGAAGTTTTGTTACGTGTCATTAAATCATTATTTACGTGTCGTTACGTGTCGTCAAATTAAGTAGTTAAAGTCATCATTCTAATTTTAAAGTAAAAGAAAACTGTGCTAGAAATCAAGGCTAACGTTGTTGATCCCAACTGTTTATTTAATTACTTTTAAATTTTTTTTGACTGTCACAAATATCCATTGAATTGGCACTCATCGGATGTTCTAAGTTTTTATTTTTGAAATCTTCTATCTTAAAAATTTTGCTATATATTTAAACCGAAAAATGATGATTGTCCCTTAATTTTTTTGTTTTTTATAGGGGCATAGTTTGGCGAGGTAAATTATTTTATATGTTTGTCTAAAACTGCTTCAAAACTGATAATCATCAGAAAATTTTGTAATGTTCAACTCCGAATTAGTGTTCTGATGGCTATTAGTTACACGCAATTTCGTTGATTGGTTTTAAATTTGTTGTGCAATTTCAATTTATAGTTTTAGTTGTTTTTTCTATTGTCATAAATAGCCTAATTTTTAAGTGTTTTACAATTGAATTTCAAAACCGAGAGTTTCTTAGAATTTTCTTAACATGTTTTTGAAAACAGCCCAACCAAATAATTTCATTGAAGTCACGTTTGTGCCTAGGCAGGGGCGGATTTAATGGGGGGGGGGGGGAGCGGACGCCTCCGCCTCAGGGATTCGACCCCCTGCCGACCCAAAGGGTCCCCCTTTTGGTACTTTTTAAGAAATAGATTTTTGGCCGATCGACCCTAAAATTTTTCTGAAGGCGCCTTTGGCGCCAATATATACTTATTTTGTGTGGGGAGCGCGCGCCAAAAAAAACGCCTGTTTTTCACAAATTTCGGCCAAAACAGGGTCTTTTTAGTGCTTTAGGAGAGCTCGGAAAATCAATTTGATCGACCTAAAAAAAACTTGGTCGACAAAATTTTCGAAATTTTTTTGAAAATCCGCCCCCCCCCCCCCCTCGAGAAAATCCTAGATCCGCCCCTGTGCCTAGGCGCGGAATTTTGTATTTTTTTGAGAGTTTTTTGAGTTGTCATACAAAAAACTGCTGATCTGATTTTTTTTCTGATTTTTCTGATTCGATTTCTGATCATAGAAATAACAGAACAATATCTCTGATTTTTTTGTGATCATAGAAATAACAGAACAAAATTTCTGATTTCATAATAATCAGAGAAGTATCAGAACAAAATCTCTGATTTTATTCTGGTCGGAAAATAAGCATAATAAAAGCAGTTACAATACTGCAGTTTTTATCTGTGAATTCTACCCGCGGCAACCGCCGTTTGCAGAAAAGAATTATTAACTTCAAGCATTAATCAAAATTAAATACTGAAAGCTATTCATAAATGTCGTATAGAAACAATAACAGACATCGAAACTGAAAACCACACAGGAGCTTTATGATATTGCTTTGATTAAAAATCAAATTTGTGGTGTTGAGTTTTCTACTCTTCGCAAAATATTTCAAAATTTAGAATTAAAAGACAATTCTGAATTAAGTATATTAAAATGTAATATATAAATGCAATTAAACATTACGTTGTCTTTTAATTCCAACTGATCATGAAAAATTTGTCAGCTATGATTTTTAGACGACTCGCCACAAAGAATGAATATTTTGAACTAAATAAGTCAATACAAGTCATAAGATATCAGTAATTTGAGTTACATTCATTCACATTGTACCCCCCGAGGAAACCCACAACTACGGAAGAAGGAATACCTTATGCTAGAACAATTGAATGCCTTAAAACTTATATACTCATTTTGAGGGGAGAGCGCGCGCCGGAAAAACAAAATTTTTGGCCCATTTTGAATTTTGCCTGCGGCGCAGAAAATTCAGCCGAAACAAGACCCCCATATGCCTCATGAAAATGGCCCTATCGATAAGGGACACAGGTAACGGATTAAGATTTGTCCATGAATGATTTGTCAAATAAAATTTGCTCTCAACTTTCAACTTTACATCAGCATCAAATAGTTATCTTTGAGTTTCTCCGCTATTAACCTTGAAAGCTAATTGGTTGAAACAAATTTACAATTTTATCTAGTTTCTGGGCAAAAAAAAAACATTTAAAAAAACGAATTTGTAACTGATGCTTTTTTGGGTCAAATTGTTTTGAGATGTTAAATTTTTGGAAGTTAAATTCTACTTTTTGAACGACTAGAATGAACGAACTTTGAGCCACAATTTTGATCAGATTTGAGTTACCAGGAACAGCAAAATTGAGCGAAGTTGCTTTACTTCATTATTGACTAACGCCCTCTGAAAATATTCTGAAAAGCGGCAATACTCGAAAGCTCGAAAGAGAAAATTTGAAATCATTGAGCGATTTTTATTTTTTTTTGTTAGAATAGTTAATTCTATAATTGACTACAGTGGATTTTATGGTTCCGCGACCAATGTTTAAAGTACAAGACATTGAATTCCTCTTCAAATTGTAGTGGAGCAAAAATAACAATTCGAACGACCCAAGTCCATCAATTTTTGATTATGTTTGAAAAATCTTGAAAAACTTGGCTAAAACTTAACGAAAATCTTGACTGTCGTGGCAAATTCTTGCCAAGTATTCTTCAGGAAAACTCAAATCGCTTTTGCACAGTTGGTTATGCCTGAAAACGCAACTATATAAAGAGAGCAAAAAACCTTGGTTCTTGGAATGCTTTAATTTTGGCTCTCTAACTCTTTGACTTCTCGCATTGCAATAGCTCGTTTGCTCTTGCTTACTGGGTGATCAAAATTCAATACCAGAACCAAAATAGACAAACAAAAGTGAAGATTTGTTGTTGCCGACTAAATGATTCTCTCAAAAGTGTTCTAAAAAAATTCTGCGAAAATACCCTTGCTTTGACGTTAGTAATGGTATTTCGGAGAATCTTGATTATGAGTTTTAACATTAACTCGCTATGAAACTTTTTTGAAGAATTTTATCGGATGTCTTTGAAGACCTCGAAAATTCTTCGAAAAATCTTGAAGACTCTTTCTTTTGAGGTTTTCACCGAAACAACAAATTCATCTGTTGAGCTGACGAAGTCATCTTACATGATTCTGAAGATATGTTTATGTAATTTGGACCATAGGTATACATAAAAAAAGCCGGAAGTATTTTTAAAGTTTCTATGCTAATAAATCTTCAAAAAGCCTCAAGATCTTGGCAAAATTTTCAACAGAGCTGAAGGTTTTTTTTTTGGTTTATTTCGTACTGCTTTCTTATCTTGTTTATGGTTTGCTTTCATAATATTTTCTACTTCATGATGGGTATGAAAAAGCAGTTGTCTACTCACAGAAGGCTTCGTGTTTTTATGCTCGGTTTCGTTTTAATTGTGAGCTCAGGGCATCAATATTTTTCAAACTGCGTGAAAACTAAATGTCAAAAATGTTTTAAAATCGGAATTGTCTGGAGGGAATAGCCACAACAAACCCAAATGTTCCATTACCGTTTTGAGGTCGGAACAATGAATTGAAATAATAATTAGACTCCATTTTATTGTCATCTTATCACAAACCTTCAAAAGACTTAAATGATATTCAATTTGAATGCACAAAATACTATAAATAAAAACGTCTGCAGACAAACAAAAGCCAAGTCAGCCAAAAAGCTATCAGCTGAAGGTTTTTTGATTGCTTAGGGATGCTATTTGCGTCCAATTTTGTTTTTGAATAAGACTTTCGAGGTGAATTATTTGGAGGGAAATTATAGTTTCTTTTTAATTTTGACCGCCATGAGGCTGTTCAGTGGCTAACAGAGGCCATATTATTGCGTTCAGTTTTTCTGAGCCTAATCCTTTAGCATGCAATAATTAGCAAAATTTTTCCGAACACGAAGTTTTTTGTGTTTTTGTTTCTTGCAAAAGAACAGTACCACAACGATATTTTATATAGAAGCCTTTTAGTGGATTTAATTTAATCAAATTTCCAAAGTTTTATTAAGTGTCGAGAGAAATCGGCTTATGTTTTTCATGTTTTTTAGATCAACTTAGAGCAGAGAGTGACACGTGAAGCTTGCGAAATTGTTTAGGACTCAATTTAGTTTTTTTTATTAAACCATTATTAGTTAGCTTTAGTTATCTTTTGGTCCAACATGTACAGAAGCTAACAAGACTGCTCGTATCAGGGCAAAGCTCTGAAATTTCCCATTGCCTTTTAAGATCTAGGGAGCAGCAATAACATAAAAATATATATATAAAAAATATATAATGATTTTTTTTTGTAAAATTTGAGATTTTTTTTGTGAAAATCATCCGCCCACACGCCATTTAAAGTACAAAGTCATAGGTTTTGCTCCTCGTAACAAATGAATTATGGCGAATAATCTTCTTTCTATCAATTTGGAACGATTTCTAAGACGGATTAAATCTCCGCTTACACATTAATAGCGCGAAATATATCGCGCGTTAATTGTCCCAAATTGGCCAAAATGGGAATCATTAAACCACCATAACTTTACAAAAAAGGATCACAGGTGGAGTATCTTTTCAAATTTAAGCTCAGGACATTAATACCTTTTGAATGATATAAAAAAATTCCGTCAAAAATGGCTAGTTAAAAAATCGAAATTTGTCTGAAGAAAAAAAACACACCCCGAGCACAAATATTCCGTTACTTTCGTTAGGAAAGTCGGAACATCAAGAAAACTGCTCGTATCAGGGAAAAGCCCTGATTTTTCCGACTGCTTTTTAAGATCTATGGAGCAGTAATAACTTTTTTTTTCAATTTGAGATTTTTTTGTGAAAAATATCCCCCACACGTCATATAAAGAACAAAATGATAGATCTAGCTCCTTGTAACAACTCAATTATGGCAAATAAGTTTCTTTCATCCAATTTGAAACTATTTCTAAGACGGGTTAAATCTCCGCTCACGCGTTAATAGTACGAAATATATCGCGCGTTAATTGTCCTAATTTGGCCAAAATGGCAGGCTTTAAACCCCCATAACGTTACGTAAAATGATCACAGGTGAAATAATTTTTCAAATTTAAGCTCAAGACAACAACAATTTTTGAATGATATAAAAAATTGGTAAAAAATGGTTAGTTAAAAAGTCGGAATTTGTCTGCAGAAACAAAAACCACCCCGGCCACAAGTATTCCGTTACTTTCGTTACAAAAAACGGAAGCAAGCAATTTTTTGTTTTATTTGAATAACAAAATTACAATTGTCGTTTTTCATGGAAGAAAAAAGAAGCCAAGAAGGGGCGGATTTTAAGTCAGGGGCGGCGGACGGACGGATCTAAGATCTACAAAAACGTTGAAACGTTTGTCGATTTTTTACTAGGTCGACCAAACTTTTTTTCTGCCAAATCAGTATAAACACTCTATTTTAAAAGTTTTCACCAAAAAAAAACATTTTCTCGCGCGCTCCCTTTGAAATGTAGTATATATTGGCGCCCAAGGCGCCGTTAAAAACTTTTTTTGGCGGCTAGCCAAAATTGATGTCTCAAAATATTACCAAAATCGGACCCTTTGGGTGGCCGGGGGTTCAATTTCTTAGGCGAAAAGGTCTCCCGCCCCCTAAAACCACTACTGTTTCGAACTGTATTCCAAACTTACCTTGCATATCATGAAAAATCGTTCCAGCGTAATGTTGAAATAGAGCAGCCAAGACAAAAACTGCTGGAAAGCGTGAAGGACTGCAGTTGTCTTGAATGCCGCACAGTTGTTGTACAGAACTCCAGGGAAGATTTTTTCCAGTGCTCCGCTGATCACAACGGAAACGCTGAAAACTGAATCAGCCATAGCCAGTGACACTATGAAATAGTCGGTGATTGACAGTCTAAGAACGTTTTTAGACTTGTGATAGCTGAGACATATAGTAACGTTGAGAAGGAAGCCCAAAAATCCACTCCCGAAAATCGTTTCCCAAATCACCTTCGATACTGTTTGAGGAACAGCTTCGCAAAACTGATAATCTTCCGAAGAAAAGTTCATTGCTGAATTGCAAGAATGAGGTAAAACTCAAAAAATAAAGGAAATTACTACATTAAAAAATAATAAATTAACGATAGGTTTTTTCCCAGTTTTATTGAATGAGCGTCAAGAAGTTGTCGGGCTTACAAAAAAGAAATTTGGCGGCTGGGATGATGATGTCTTGTCCATTGCAAGATTAGATTGTTATCGATGAAAGAGCGTAATTAACAATTCAAATAAACCGTCCGGCTGTATAAATTAAAAAGCTGCATTAGGACAAAAATGAGAGGCACAAATGTGATGAATTGCATTCAAATGGGATGTAGAAATAAAGAGCCATCGAGCCATTTCAATCATGCAGCACCACTTGCGTTCCCTGTCAAGTAGAGCGGCCTGAATTTTGACTGAAACAAGAAGAAAACATATTCAGTTCAAGATCTGAATTACAATCCAAAAAACAGAAAGTAAGCAAAAAAATCAAAATAAACACCACAAAGAAAGCGAGTAACACAAAAAATTCGAATAGTAGCTTTTTAAAAAATAATAACTCAGGCAAATTTAAATTTTTTGGATAAAAAAATAACTCAGTTTTTGTTAGGCTCGTTCCAAAAGAAGCAGCTCAATTCATTCAGTAATTTTTTATCTATTGAAGATCAGTTTCCAAAACTTAACAGAACTTCTAGAAAGGACCCAATATTGTTATAATTTTGCCAATTATTTTCATTTTTTTCAATTTTACCTTCGAATGTTGAAAGTAGTTGGCAAATTGGTTCGTTTCTGCAAATTCAAAAGATATCGCTCACGTCTATTATATTGTACTAAAAAAGACTGTTTAAAACTTCTAATTAAATAACCAACCTGGTTTTGATTCAAAATGCTTTTTGTTGGTGAAAACTGTAGATGTTTAAACTGATTCAACTAAGATAGGAAATAGGGGAAAAAGAGAAAATTAGAAAAGTGATGAAAAAAATACTTGACGAGAAAAGTGGAATTGGGAATTGTATTTGATTGGCAAAACTGTATATATTCACATATTCTGTTCTTTCTTTGCTTCCTTTTTTGTAAATATTTGATCAGTTTCTGCCACAAAAATGATTATATCCACGCCCAATGAGAAAGCAGAAAAAGTATTAAAATTTTTTTTTTGCAAATTTTATTCCTCGAATGACGTCTTCAATTGAAAAAAAAGAGTTTTAGCCAATCTCAATTCCTCTTGAAGTTGTATTTTGTTAATTGTAACAATATTAAGCTTTCTTTCTTTTCTTGCTAATATGTAAACGAAAGAGTCTTTAGAAAATGTTTAAGGTTGGTCGGCCGAAAAGAAATGTCGTAAAATAATATTAAAGGGGGCAATTTTTTGGTAAGCAAGTCAAATCCCTGAGGGGGAAGTCCCCCTCTATCGCTATGCCTCCTAAATCCGCCCCTGATTACCTTATATCAAAAAAATTGTATTCTTTTTTCAGTTGATTTAATGGTTTTTAAGGAAATTCAAACATTATAAAAGTACAGTGAAGTAAATGATAATGTGCTTACTCTCTGTCAGCAAATATTGAAATATCCGAAAGTAATCTGTTTTTTGATGAATTGATGTCCTGATGACTTTGGCATTCGTTAAAAATTCAAACAAACTAGCATGTAACGCACCGCCGCTGCTTTAAGTTTTTGAAAAATCATAAACACGGGATATCTCGGAAGCTGAAAGGATTTGAACATTCACATTTGGAGGCAAGATTGCAACCCCTGAAAGTACGTTGGCAGCAGGCAACTACAGGCTTAGAATTTTCAAATTTCGTGCTTTAAACAGATTATTGAACGTGGAAACTGCTTATATATAAATTATATGAGAAAACTGCAAAAAAAGTTTCGGTTAACCCCACCTAAATGATAGATAAAAAGAATAATTTTCTTACAAATTTTGACTGATTTTCCATAAAAATGCAGGGCTGATATCCCGAGCGTTATATCAAACTCGAAAATGGCAAAAATTGCAATTAAATGACAATTATAAACACATTTAGTGTCCTTTTAATGAACTTTAGCCTCAGAAAGTTGGACAAAAATCAACTTGAGGCTCAATTAATAAAAAATGGTTCGTTTTTACCAGTCTCATAATAATATAATACATTTTCTAGTAACATTGTCCCAATAATATAGTAAAATTTTTAATTTCCTTCTGTCATAAAATAAGGGGTATAACCGAAAAGACCCCAGCAAGCGTAGCACCAGACGGGGCATCCAACAACGCCTTTTAAGTCAAAAAATGAACAATAAAAATACATCTACTCAAAGATTTTTTTTGTTATTTTTTTGTTAAAACTAAAATGCTCAAATCTCCAAAACTACTGGATTTTAGATCTTCAACTCAAAAACAACCCTAAAATGACCACAACTGCACTTTTCATATTGAAAAAAAATTTAAACTATTTCATTTTCAAAATCACCATATATAAAAAAGAGATTTTTCTTAAACTTAGTTCATAAATTTCATTCGCCAGTTCGTATATCATTTGCTAACATCAATTGCTTAACCCAGCGCAATTAAATTTAAACCAACATTCTTCTTTGTTAGTTTATCATAGAAAAAATGACGAGTTCAAAAACTTTACAAAATTGACCAATAACGCTGGGACGGATGTCAAATAGTAACTTGAAATCAGCCCACCAAAAAGTCCAACTTTTTCAAAAGTTGAGCAATTTTCAAAAAAATGAAAAATGATTAAAAAAAATCATATCTTAACGTCATATAAACGTTTCATTTTGACGCCAGAAAAAAACCCACTGAGAATACCTTGACAACCCCATCAAAATCAAAAATTTGGAAAACTCATCAACAAAAGTAATATCTTGAAAACAATATGGAATTGAGCAGTAAAAATTGGAGGCAAGATATGCAACCCCTGAGAGTACTTTGACAGCTTCCAACTACGGGGTTGAGTAGTTGAAGCTTTTTCAGGATTTTAAATTTAACTTTTCTGCAAAATTTTAAAAAAACTCTCAAAAACGTCACATCTCGGAAACCAAACGCACTTGAGCAGTCACATTTGAACGCAAGATTTGCAGCTTCTGAGACTACCGACTAAGTACCCACTTTTGAAAAATTCTATATCCCAGTTTTTTGAATTCTTTTTTGGAAAGTAACCATGAAAGACGTCACATCTCGAAAGCTAAAAGTTTTAGATCAGTCGCTTTCGAACGCAATATTTGCCACCACTGAGAGTACACTCACACTAACCAACTTCAGGCTTTGGAGTTTCATTTTTTTTGTCTTTTCTTAAATATAAAAAAAACGGAAGAATAATCAAAAATGTCACATATCCAAAAGTACAAGGATTTGAGCAGTCAGGTTTGGAGACGAGAGTTAACCCTGACGGATACCAAATACAGAGTTGAATTCTTAAACTTCGTGAAATTTTTCAATTTTAGCTGACTGAAATCATTTGAAAAAATCATAAAAAACTGAAAATGAGGATTTGATTATTCATAAGTGAAGGTCGAATTTGCAACTTTTAAAGAAACCTTGACAACATCACACTGCTGGGTTGTTGATTTCAATATTGGCGAAGTAAACACTTAATTCAAACTAGAAAAATAAAAAAGAAGTTATGGGCCATTACAATGTACGATATAACTTTGTCGCGAAAGCTTCTTTCGTTAAAATGCAAAAATGAAACGTTGAAAAAACATAAACATGACGAGATCGTGACGAGAAAATGAAGCCAGCTTTTAAATTTATAAGAGAGTTGGAACTCAAAACCTGACCATGAGTAAAACTTATAGGAAGGCTTTTTTTCAGAGACTGACTATGATTAGGTATATGTGCTGGCACTACTGCAGTCACGGACTCAAGCTTGAATTGAAGTTGGTTTTGGGTTACAATTCTTCAAATCAAAAGTTTTGAAAAATAAAGTTATTGTTACTTTCTATAATCTCAAGTGTGCTAACATTCAATTCCATAGTTAATGCTAAATTGTTGGCAAAATCGGTGGCCTTGAGCAATTTAATTGGTCAAAAACTACAGCTTATAGGTTAATCTGGGAAAATTTGGAAAAAAATTTTACGCGTGGAAATTAGTGAGAAAATTAAATCTGAATTCGAAATGAGCAGTTTTAAGTTAGATAACTTCGTTCACAATCAATGACCGAAAAAGATATTGCCAACCAATAAGCATTAATTATAAAATGTTTTTTTTTGTACCTGATTCAGAGTCTTGCTAGCAGTAACGTTACTGGCAATGGGGTGGGTAAGCGTCCCAAAGCAATTTGATCAGTGGAACATAAAACAAAGAAAAGAAATGAAAACTGAGCTATGCCCTGTTTCGTTCGGTAATTTTTGGTCGCAACTATCTTTTAGGTGGAACCCGCCATTACTTTTGTCAATGAATCCAAGGATGTGCAAAAAACACTGAAAATGTTGTATAACTTCTAAGTCACAATTAATATATAAATTTTTTACTTTTTCCTCTTTCACGAAGTTGCACGTTCGTGTCTGGCATAAAAACCCAGCAACCAGATTTTCAAAAATTTGCAAAATGCTCACTACGACAACAAATTAATCTAAGATTACACGATCCCAAATCAAAAGGAATTCAGGAGATTTCCCTAGAACCATTTCAAAGCTGCCAATTTCTGCCAACCCTGCCAATTTCTACAATCTGTGATTATTTTTAACAAGTTTTATTAATCTGACAATTTTCGGAAAAAATGACGGAATATTTGGGCTCTGGTGCTTTTTTTCTCCAGAAAAACTTCGACTGTTTAACTAGTAGTTGTTGACGAATTTGTATGTCATTCGAAAGAAATAGTTGTTCTGAGCTCAATTTTAAAATTCAAAGATATTTACCTGTGATTATTTTTGGTAGAGTTATCAGAGATAACAAAGACTGCCAATTTAAGGAATATCCCATCCCAAATGAATAGTGTTTCAGTTGATCTTCCTAGAATCACATTTAATGCTGCCAATTTCTGCGATCACGTCCAATATTGGCAATTTTTATTTAAAATTATTATTAATCTGACTATTTTTGAATAAAATGACGGAATATTTGCGCTCGGCAAGTTTTTTTCTCGAGATAATTTTGGAGTATTTTGCTAACAAAATTTGACGCTACTTTTTTCTATATCTTTCGATTGTTGCCCTGAGCTCCAATTGAAAAAGTTTTGTACTTATGATTTTTTTTGTAAGGTAATGGGTGTTTTTGGATTGCCAATTTAACAATTTGGGAAAGATAACCCGCGATTTATTTCGTGCTGTTAACGTGTAAGCGGAGATTTCCTCCATCCAAAATTGTTCCAGTTTGGATTGAGGCATGCTCTTTGGTCTGTTTAATTTTTTGCTATATGCGAATAACATATCGCTTTGTGCTTTACATAGCGTATGGGAGGATGATTATAAAAAAAACTAGAACAAAAATTGCATTTTCTTCGATGTTTTTCAAATCGTCATCAATTATTTTTAAGTTTAACTACTAAGAAATTAAAATAGAGTTGGCAGGGGCTGATCTAGGATTTTCTCGAGCGGGGGATTTTCAAAAAAACTTCGAAAATTTTGTCGACCTTTTTTTTCGTCGACCGAATTGATTTTTTGAGCTTTCCCTAAGCACGGTTTAGTCCCTGTTTTGGCCAAATTTTGTGCGCCGCAAAAAACAGTCCAAAAAAGGCGTTTTTAGGCACTTTTTGGAAAATTCTGAGCAAAAAATCGCGTTTTTTCGGCGCGCGCTCCCCCCTCGAAATAAGTATTTATTGGAGCCAAAGGCACATTTAGAAAAATTTTAGGGTCGGTCGGCCAAAAATGGATTTTTTAAAAAGTACCAAAGGGGGTCGGCAGGGGGTCGAATCCCTGAGAGGAGGGGGGCATCCGCCCCCCCCCCCTTAAATCCGCCCCTGAGAGTCGGAACAGTCAAGATTTTGTCTGAAATGAGCAGTTTTGTTGTAATTTAAGTCAATTTGACGAAAAGTAGGAGACTATTGATTTGACGCAATGTACGATGCAACAGGCAAATGGACTCAATACAGAAGCAGACCATTATTTTGTAGAGATGCTTTGTTTTCTAAGTGGCAGTTA